AAGCAAGATAACTTGTAAAAGCCTCTTGCTGCTCTGAAATTTCCCTATTTTCTAACAAGTTATTAATTTGTATGGAACAAAATTAACAGAAAGTAAGCCAAGAAGGCAGTCAAGGGGGGCTAGACTGTCAGAGAATTTTGGAATCAAAAGGAACTTTGGAAATCACCCCACCATTTATTTCAAGCAGCAAACATTCCCAAAAAATCTTATGCGGAATACCAATATAGAACATGGGCCAGGGCTAAACTCTTCCGTAAAAACTGACATAGAGGGCTGTAGGGGCCCCCCGCTGAGATTTTTCCTTGAGGCAGCTAGATACACCTCCTTAGAACCGTACCAGCACAGGAAGCAGTGTGAAATCCAGTGCCCCCTGACCCTTCTGATGAAGCCATTCTAGGAAGGCTCACGGAAAGAGCTGGAACTTGCATATTTACAGGAAGGTTCTTCACCCTTCCCAAGAACTGTCTCAATTTTAACTGTAACCCCTTCAAGTCAGATAAATAAGCATTATGCAAAGAGAATTATAAAACCATTCTTACTCTAGGAAAAAACCTTAAGAAAGTTAATGTACTATATGCAATCCCTGTGTAAATGAGAAGCCATGAAAGAGTTAAGCAGGAGAGTCATATGGCTAAATTTAGATTTTAGGAAGCCATCTCTGGCAGCTGGAGCCAAAGATTTGACTCGTGGTACAGTGATAGAGTACAGTGCTATCAGAGATGCCTGGTCAATCTGGCAGGACTTCTTGTATTTTGTTTATTCATTAGTATTTAATAAAGTATTTTTGGAAAGAATTGAGCCATTCTCAGTTGTGTCAGGGGACCCACAAGGAAAGGGCTGTCAGGCATGGGCCAGGATTTTCTGAGAGGACTTGCCTATGCAGAGGTCAGCGTGGTGGAAAAAGAGCCATCCAAGGCAGCTCTCTACCAGGGCAAGATGAAGCCCAGGAGGAAAAAGATCAATACCGCCTGTCAGCTGCCTCACCTAGTGTGCTAGCAGTAAACTGCCAAATATCAGAATCTTCTTTTAAAGAAAATAATTTCCTTGCAGAGATATGGGGTTCAAGGCCTACTGCCTATATCAGCCCCAAACCCTGAACTACTCCAGCCCCAGGTTACCTCCCTGCTTCTTCTGATGTCCAGGTTTAGTTTGGTCTTTCCACTCTGATCCCCTGTTGCTCTATTCTCTTTTTTTCAGCTGGGATCTGTGTGTTTTCTTGTTGTTATACATCTCTAAACAGGAGGATCTGTCAATCTGGATTCTCAGGTTCCCACCCCCAAACTAAACATTACTTCTACAACAATGGCAACACACTTAAAAAACAACTACTCTATTACTACTACTACTACCATAAAGCAGCTTTTAGACATTAGGATTTACCCAGCCTGGTACTGAACACTCTCCATAACCAGGTTCAACCTTCCTTAACAGTTACACCACACTCTAACCAAACTGGCCTCTATTCACCCCTTAAATCTGCCTTTAACTGTTTTGAACTCTATGCCCCTGCTCTTGTCCTCTGCATTATCTACACCTCCTAAAATTCCATTCAATCTTCAGTATCTGTAGTGAAGCCTTTCCTCACTACCTGAACAGAAAGTAAGCTTTTTCCTTTGAACCCTCATACAATATGGAATTTAAACATTATCTCATATAGATATACATACATTACAGTATCTCTCAGACTGTCCAACTCTTGAAAGGTAAGCAATTTGTCTTCTATATCCATGGTCAGCTTGTGTAGGGCACTAGATCATTCCCAATGAGGGTTCTAGGGGCCCACACAAACCACTTAGGGGAAGCTCTCATACCAAGAGTGTTCAGGACACATTACCTTTGCCTGTTTCCCTTAGTATAGATCAGTGCATCAAACTCCAGTCATTTACATTCCATCTTAATCTTAGGATTTTTGCTAAATGCATTTATTGTCTACACGTACTCACTAAATGTTTCTTTCAGTTAAGTCAATTTTTTATTTTTTACTTCACTATCCACATTAGCCTTGTCCTATAGTGTATGAAAGCATGTATTTGATATGTTTTCTAATGCATACAAAAATGCATAACTATTAAAGTTCTAGAACTTTGTCAAGGTTCCCTCTAGTTATTTTGCATATCATAAGCAGTATGCTTTGTGTAACACTGTTCATTCCTGTCTTCAGTCAATTCAAAAGTATCTAGTGTCTTTTACTTGCCAAGCACTGTTACTTGTTCTGGAGGACAGTTGTTCTCAACTAGTAGTAATCTTCCCCCCAGGGGACATTTTGGCAATGTCTAGAGATATTTTTGTCACAACTGGGAAGGGTTCTACTAGCATCTAGTGAGTTAAAGCAGGGATGCTGCTAAACACGCTATTATGCACAGAATAGCCCCCCACAACATAGCATTATCCAGTCCAAAAGAACAGTGGGGTCAAGGCTGAGAAAATCTGCATAAGCAAATCAGGGGCAAAACAAGAGAGAAATTTTTTGCTTTTTTGGAGCTTATAATCTATGAACAGAATGCTACAGATGATCTCTGTTCCAGTATAGTCAATAAGATTCATTAGTCTACAGTTTTCAGGATTTCTTTTCTGTTGTTTATTTCTCATATATGGAAGGCATCCTGGCACTGAGCAGATTTCCCCTTAAATAATAGCAGGTTATATACATCCAACAGGTCAGAGTATGGGCTTTGCCACCACACCATACCAGGGTCAGAGACCTGCCCTGGCAATTACTATCTGACCTTGGGCAAGTCATTCAACCTCTTTAAGCCTCAGTTTCCTCATCCATAATGGAGTTAGACAGGCTTTGATGGAGCCTTACATGAGGACTGTTAGAATAGTTCTTGAGAACGATAAATGCACAGTAAGCAGGACTCTGAGGGCAACAAAGATTTTCCCTTCCAAAATGTCTTGGTTCAATCTAGTTATGGGGGTTCATTTTCTGGTTGGTCAATCTGGTTCAATACATTAAGTACAACTATTACTACTTAAGACAGAGGATAGTATAATGTATATTTTATGAGCTGAATTTATAAAAATAAAATTTGATTTTAAAGGTTTAGCCTCAGCTGCATGTACTCGTTAAGTTTGGAATGTGGGCTGTCCATCCCTTAACAGCCTCCTTTCCCATTTTGGATGTCCCTTTCATGCACTTGCCCCTCTTTTCCCGGCCTTTCAGGGAGAATCGTAGCCTAAAAACTCTTAATCCTGGTAGTGGTTGCTCTTCCAGTAACCCTCTGAGATTCAATTATATCTAGTCTTTATTAGTTTTGAAGCATCGCAGGCTGCATTTTAATTTGTAGAGAAGCACTTCAATGGTGCAATGGTGGCTTTAGTTTTCAGCCACATGGCTCTCTCCTGGCAGGTTACGTCAATCACTTTGCTGTCCTCTGCTGTGCTCAGATACACCATTTCATTAATTTCTGGTCACCCAACTAAAGGCTTTGCCAGTCCTAGTCTCCCACTCTTCCCCAAGCTCCGCCTAATTTTTAAAGGTATGAAGGCCTAAGGGCCCTGCGGCATACTCTAGAGAGGACATGGAGTCCATTTTTTCCTTACGGTGTTTTGTAAAGCCCCAGTTCTCTTCAGTTCCCTACGGGCTCTTCTGTAAGATATGGGTTTATTCTCCGAGGTTTCTGAGCACTTCCCCTCTGCATCTTCTCCACGTCCACATCTTTCAAAAAGTAAGGATTCAACTAGTATATGTTGTATAGCTATAACAATAAGGCAGTTTCACGTGCATCATCTTATCAGTGCTTGCAACAGCCTTCTGAGATAGGTACAATGATAGCTCTTGATAAATGATGAAACTAAATTTCCAAGAAATCAACTCACTCACATTTACATAATTAGTAAGTAGAAGCATCCCAGGATTACTGTTTTTAACTTATCAACATATTTACATCAAAAGTGCTCACATTATACCTGTATATCTCAATGATTTCACAAACACACCTGTCTACCTGGCATCCAGAACACATTCCAGGATTTTAATTTAGGGTTTCTGAGCTCTTTCAATCATGTGTGTAGTCATTCTACAAATACTTACTGCTTGCTATATTTTAGTCGTTTTGCTAAGCACTGAGGATCTGATGGTGAATAAGACTGATGTGACCCCTGCCTTAATAGAGCTTCGAGGCTATAGGGGAGTAGGCATAACCTTTTTAAATTATACATAAAGGAAATTAAGGTAGTAGAGGAATTTTAAAAACTTCAGTATGGTTTTGATACAGCCAGCAAGAGAAAAGAGGTTGGAGACAGAGACAAATGGTCAAATCATACAAAGCTTTACTGGGGGAAAACTTTAGATTTTACTCTAAATGTAGTGAGAAATCACTGAACAATACCCCTGTGTTCATAAAACAAGCTAGTCCCAAAGAGCTTACTTGATTCTTCAGTTATCCTAACCTTCAGGTACTTAATATTACTTGTGCCCTTCGCTTCATTAGGCCTCTTACCCTCAATGTCTAAATATAACTGACATAAAGGCTTGAGAAATATATATTTGTAATATATAAATATTATGTACTGATGTAATAATTCTAAAATTAATATTATAAAAAATCAAAATATCATTTTACCAAGTAATTTACAGTATTAATACATGTACTGTATAAATATTTATAGATGCTGCCAGACATTGCTAATTTCCTTTGATACTTACCTTTTAGAATCTGGACAGCAAAGTTAGGCAGTTATGCCAATGAAGAAAGTACACTTTGTTTCAGTCTGTTCTCCACACTTAATCCTTGGATTTGGGTCAAGTAATATGTAGCAGATTCAGTCCAGTCACCCTTTTACTTCACAAATATGTACTGTGTGGGTGCTCAAATATACATTGTGTTTCTACTATGTGCCTAGGTGCTGAGGATATAGCAGTAAACAAAAAGAGACAAAAACCCCTGTCCTCAGTAAAGTTATATAATCTAGATGGGAAGAAATAATTAACATGTTCTTGTTTATTTAAACAAGCAAAGTGTCCAGCATATTACATCATGATAAACAGTGGTACTTACCCAGAGGAAAAAATAAGGTGCGAAAGGAGGACAGGAATTATTTAAATGATGACTGTCTAGGACAAGAACTTTTTTAATACTTGTCTTTTAGCAGTTTATCAATGACACAGCTGTTGATATGTACCAGGGGTCAGCAAACATTCCCTGCAAAGGGCCAGAGGGTAAATATTTTATGCTTTACCAGCCATATGGTCTCTGTTGCAACTATTCAACTCTGCTCTGATAGTGAAATGCACCTACAGAAATGAATTTGTATGTGGCTGTGTTCTAATAAAACTTGATTTATGGATACTGAAATTGGAATTTTATGTAATTTCTGTGTGTCATGAGATTTTATTTAAAAATTTTTCAACCATTTACAAATGTGAAAACATTCTCAGTCCATGGGCCACACTAAAACAGGCAGCAGGCCATTATTTGCCAACCCCTGAAGTATATAATGAAATGGCTTACTGACTTTTCATAAATCAACAAATCAAAAGAAATAGAAGCAAACCTGGCATAAATATTATTGAAACATAAAGATATGCACTATGAATAAAAAGAGAATTCCCTAATCATTTTCAAGTTAGAGATATTAATTTTATATGATAGTAGGATTCATATTTCAAGTACATAATAAAATATTAAAGATAATGGTGTAACTACCTAAATAAATCATGCTAAAAATTATAGAAGTACCTCAGTGAATAAAAAGTCATCACAAACATCAAATAATCTAGACACCCTATATATTTGTAATATATAAATATTATGTACTGATGTAATAATTCTAAAATTAATATTATAAAAAATCAAAATATCATTTTACCAAGTAATTTACATTAGAATCTGGACAGCAAAGTTAGGCAGTTATGCCAATGAAGAAAGTACACTTTGTTTCAGTCTGTTCTCCACACTTAATCCTTGGATTTGGGTCTATTTCCTAACAGAAAAAGTTTATTCCAACCACAGTAACATTTCAATTATCATTTCCATCCCAACAAAACACAAAACCCAGTTTTGACCTTTCCCCTAACTTCCACAATTCCAAATGCCTAAGAGAAATCTATGCCTGGATACCATGCTACCACCTGAAACTGATCTGAAACCAGGTGTTTTCTCCACCACATATGTAAAGTAGCTTCCCCTCTAAATTCGTTATGAATGGTATCTTCATTACCTCATTCAACTCAAGTGTTGTGGGATATCATTTTAAGATATTTAAAGTTGTGTTCCTCCAGAGAGTTCACTTTTTCCCTCCTTTCTCTACTCTCTACCTACCACGTCCCCCTCAAGTAGGTAAGCCATTCTGTGCTCATAGCTTCAAATTAAAGATAAGCTTGGGTGAGAAAAAGAGGCATAAGTTTTTCCCAACTTTGTCTTCCAAGGTACATGGGGGAAAACGAAAGGCCTTTTAGCAGAGACAATATGATTGAAGAAAATAATGAGAGCAAGGGTTCTTCTTCAATCCCATCTACTCATATTCCCCACCCCCAGGCTACAGAGACTCCCCTGGGCTAAACAGAGGAGAGAAGGCAGTGGGGTCTAGGATAGAAGGGCCAGACCCAAAGGGACTAAACATTCAAAATGATGGGCCATTTTTAGTGAGGAGACCCTGGGGAGTGGGTTTAGCATCAGCAGACCATAAAGCAAGCATGTGAACAGAATCTTTCCTGGTGGTACATGGTGAGGGCTTCTCTTGGGCAGTAATCCTCCTCTTGCTGATGACCTCCTGCTAGAAGGATGCCTATCCCTGCCTGAGGTTTCATTTGGTCTCCATCCAATTTGCCTCATACAGACAGACAGCTGTCTTTGTACCCTCCCTGGACCATAAGCTTTGAAGGAGGACAGCCCTGGACACTCCATGGGGGTGATGAGGGCAAGCCCTGTACTGGGAATTAGCAAGGTGAGGAAAGGAGGGGTAGGCACTAGTAACCACTGACCTGATTTCTCACACCACAGACGAGTTTTGCATGCTTTTCGATCTTGATGTAAGTGGAACCACATGTATACTTTCCTCTTTCACTCAACTTCATGTTTGTGCATTTCATCTATATTGTTGCACGTGGCTGTAGTACATTCATTCTCACTACTAACTCCATGTTAGGTATATATCCCTCTTTATTCATTCTACCACTGATGGACATTTAGGTTGTTTCCAGTGTAGAGAAAATAGTAAAACATATTCCACTACATGGATTTATAACTGACAGTATTCTTAGCTCAATCTAACATACCAATCAGTAAGAACTACTCATTCTTCCTTTGCTCTAATAACTGACCCCAGCCTTTCCACACTCACCATTCCAAAATCTAAACATATTTCTTCAAGTTGACAATAAGCTTCCCAAGGACAGGAAATATCTTAATTCTTCGGATCTGTCATAGGATATATGTTTAATATGTATTCAAGGAATAGTTATCATACATGTGTAATCACTACTATCAAAGTGATCACTAACTTTTAATGTAGAAATGTAAGTGGCATTCTGATATAAAGTCTGGGGATTTTTTGAAAGCATCCCATTTTAGATCTCTTAGCATATGAAATGTCATGTCCCTAAGATATTATCTAAATACTAAAAGAGCCTAGCATTAAATGCATACCTCTCCTCACCTGTAGTATGGAGCTCAGAGGGAGAAAATACAGAAATAGGAGTGAAAGGAATAGATAGATGCTGGTGGGATATTTGAATGCAGGGCCCCATCAACTCATAACTTCGGTATCATCAGGAGAAACTGAGAACCTAGGCTTTTAGCATAACAACTCCTGAGAGCAAGAGCAGCCAATAACAGTGCTTTTTTAGATTATATATATTAATTCCTTTAATCTTTACAATCTTATGAGTTAGGTATAGTGGTATCATTAGTACTAGAGGCAGAGATAAGTAATCTGATGCAGAGTAGTTAAGCAATTTGCCCAAAATGATAAGTTTATAAAGTGACAGAGCTAAGAATCTAACCCAGGCAATCTGGCTTTCATATTTTTGACTGGGTGGGGGTAGGGGTGGGAGGATTTCTTCCTCCAAATGGGGTGAGAGTTCTACAACTTAAACCAAAAATTACACTGATCTGTGAGCATGTGTAAGTGTGGCTATATGTAAAACAATTAACATATGATTAATATATTCTAAATAAAGCTTTTCACCCATTAAAAAGGATGAGAGGAAGGATTATTACAAAGGGATAGGAGAAAACTTTTTGGTGTGATAAATTACTCATCTTGATTGTGATGACAATTTCGTGGGCATATACACAAAAAATTATCCAATTGTACACTTTAAATATGTGCATGTATGCCAACTGTATAGCAATTATACTTCAACAAAGCTAAATGCAAAAAGGATGAAACATCTATAGACAAGCCAATTAAAAAAAAGGGCTACCTACAATGTACTGAGTGAAGAAAAAAATATGTTCATAATTTGGTAAATACATATAAACATATATGTAAACACACACACACACACACACAAATATCTGTAGGGTTTTTTTTAAGCCTGAGGTAATGCATAGTGCATTCATTGAGGCCTTTGTTAACAGGCAGATGACTGAGCCACCTTGAAGCAGATCCTCCAGCTCCTCTTGCTCAACATGATGTTTGTGAGGTGCATCCACACTGCTGCATGGAGTTATAGTTCATTCACACTGACTCTTGTTGGATATATATTCTTATTAATGTATTCATTTTACTATCGATGGACATTTGTGTTGTCTCAAGTTTAGGTTTCTCACAAATAGTGCTGCGAACAGTCTTATATGTGTCTTTTTATGAACCTATATACCCATTTCTGTTGTGTGTGCCTAGAAGTGGAATCACTGAGCCACGGGATACCTATATTCAGCTCTACTCATCACTTGGTAAAGTTTTCCAATGTTTGTACCAATACAGAGTCTCAGTAGCAGTGTAGCAGAGCAGCTGCTCCACGTTCTCGTAGACTCAGTTCATCTTTTTCATCTGCCATTTCAGTGGGTGGTAGTGTTTTGCATTGTGCATTCTGATGAATGATGAAGTTGAACACCTTTTTGCATGTTAATTGGCCATCTGGCCATCTTTTGTGAATGCGTGTGTCCCAGCTTTTGTCCATTTAAGCAAATGTTACTTTCAAGATCAGCAAAATGCCATGATAATTTTCTAAACTAATGAGTTTTCTGTGGTATTGTGAAAACAATGCCTTTGGCCAACAGAACAGAGTCATCAAAAAGAAGCAGAAAGAACTAATATGGAGGGATATGATTAGGTGCCTTTTCTAAACCTAGAAATGTTTGGAAAACAGAAACAAGAAACGCAGTAAGGCAGCAGGAACCCTCAACGTAGGAACAAGCCAAAAAGGGAGAGGTCACCGTGCAGATGATACATGTGTGCAGGATTTACTTCATTCTGATAGATGGGCAATGCAGCACACACACAGGACAGAGCTCAAGAATCACATTAGCCACAGTCACTATCCAGAAAAGCTTTTCTAACAAGAGGCACAAATCGGCTCTAACCCTATTACACAGTGCTGTGTCATTTAGGGCAGTGCAGTGCTAGCAGGGAAAACAGCAAATATTCTGCAAATGGAAATGTGTATCACCTAAAAGTGTGGTCCCATTATGTCACATTTCTCAAGAGAGGAAAAATGGTAATTTATACATAACCTTGAATAGCCAATATATACATACTCACCTTCCTTTAACCTCACAAGCCTACATTAACCTTTACTTTCTTTTTTTCTCTTATGAGTTACCAGAATGTACTATGGCATTAGCTGCTTATTTTTAGTTTACTGATTAAAATTTAATAAGACTCTTCAGATAGCAGAACAATCAGTTAAAGAAAGTTAATATTGCTGGACAAGATCAATGCATAATGGATACCATGTGTAAGTGAAAAAGAAGAAACAATGTAGCTTTGGTCGTATTATCACAGCAGAGAATCTTAGCCCCAAATACAACAAGCTGGTGCTTTAAGTATGATCATACAAGAAGTTCCTACATTACAATTTTTAAGAATAAATTAGGTCAGATATACTAAACAACCTCAAGAGCTCAATACTTAGTCAACCAGAAAAAAAAGGTTCTCACATTTTTAATAATCTCACTGTCCTACTTTATAAGCACATCACAGTAAAATGGCATTAAGAAATCATCACAAACAGAACATGGAA